TTCCAGCTTTGGTGTGACACCTTGGAAGGGGACCAGGTCTTGGTGTAATATATCTTGCAACATCGCCGCGTGGAAATGCCGGTCGAACCTCCCGTCCAGGTGCAGATTTTCTAACTCCATGACTTTGAGGATCGGCGCGGGCCCGAAGCCATGCAGGCCACAGCGTACAGCATACATGCTGGGATAGCTAGGAATATTGATTCGGAGGGAGCGCAGATGAAAGGAGTGTGCTTCCAGAAGCGCCAGGATAGTGATTATTTCACGAGCGCTGTTGACCAAGGTCTGCCCATCCGGGAATTGCTCGTCATCGCACACGCTATCTGTGTCCAGCAAGACCGCCAAGACGTCTATGGGCGCGTTGCGCGAGCGCGTCAGATACACAGCTTCCTTGGTAAACGACGGCGCCGTTGAGTCAGTGAATTCGATGGTGGTCCATAACCGCGGGGTATCAAGGGCAATACCGCGCCAGCGTCGACAGGTATGCGACACGCGAAGCTCAAAGTTGAGGTCCGCAGTTGGGACGTCCTCTTGATCACCACTATGACGTGTATCACCAACAAGCAGGAGGTGTTCGTCCGCTGAGTCGTGGACGGGAGCTTCTGGCATACCGAGCAAGAATACATGTGCGATGAGCTCGTCAGGCAACGCGTCGAAAACGCAACGTCCGCCTGGGGGCGGGATGCGGGGATTGGCTTGGGGGTCGTCCATTTGCATTGCCCTGGTACGCTCGCGCGTTCGGCGGCACAGCTGTAGACCCGTAAATTCGCATGAATGACCTCTTCCGATTAGAACCACGCACAGAGGACTGACCGCTTGAAGCTGTTCGGAGACAACCGCTGCGGCCAGATATTACTTATTAGTATGTAACGTCGGCGTCCCGGCCGGGGACGGCCATACATTTGGTAGGAGAGCCGGCCGGGCTGTTGCGACGTGATGGGGGTCGCGCAGGCGCAGAGAACAACGGGCAGTGATCACTCATTCTTCCCTCGCCCACGACGCAGACTCGGCGGTGCAGGTCAGCCAGCCACGCCCGCCCCGTTCTTGCTCCTTGTCGACAGGTACGTCGCTTTCATTTCGAGCATATCTCATCTAATCAAGCAGCGATGCAGACCGGCTCGGTCCTTGTCTCGCACCTGCTTCACGCAGGCTGTATTCCCTCCCCAAGTCGCTCTTTACCTCCAACCGCCATTCTGTCGTTAGTCCGTCATGCGTATATCGCCCAAACATTTCAAGAAGCGGTCAAGTGATGCGCTCGACGCCCGCGAACCATCCGTTGCTGGTTTGAGTGGTTCCGTCACAGCGTCCGCACTTGCCGCTACCGGATCCAGCCTCATCCTCAACGCTTCGGGCTCCGTCGAGAGTGTTTCTATCTCGGACTATTCGTTCGCTTCAGCAACTGTAACAACCTCACCAACTCTGATACCGATGTCATCTATCGTACCTTCTGCATCTGCGTCGGCCGCCTCTGACATCTCCAGCAACTCCGCTATACCCGTCGGGACGGTAGTGGGCGCATGTGTCGGTGCGTTTGCGGGTGCTGGTCTCATCATCTTCCTCGTCTACACCTACTCGAAGCGCCACCTTAGCGGTGCCGGCGCCCGCGATGGTGGGCGAGGTGAGAACTGGAAGAAGCTGCACGACAACCATGATGGCGCCCCGAACTCGCCGTCGCATGACAGCTCGCGGGAGATGGAGGAGAAGAACCGTGCGCTGTTCAAAAAGTCCACGCCCAGCGTCCGTACGACGCGCACCAAGCTCTCCGACGAGGACCACGGATTCGGCATCCCGCCGTTCGAATTCTCAAAGTACCACCCCAATCTCGCGCAGGAGCTCGCTCTCGAGAAGCCCGCGCCGGCGTTCGTCGCTCACCGCGGGGACAGTGGCGTCTCATGGGACGGTTCGACGGTCCATGACGACTCTTTCCTCTCGATGCGCTCTGTGCGCGTCGATTCGGGCACAATGTCGCCTACGCTAGGCTTGGCCAAGCCGACGCCTGTGGCAACATCGTCGGCCATCCATAAATGGGAGTCCGCGGAGGTGCTCACTCTCGGGGAAGAGGACGTTGCCGGGCCGAAGGAGGTCCAGAATCCGTTCGCGGATGTCGCCGAGCAGCGGCGCAGCGTTGCCAATCCCTTCTTCAATGCGCAGGAGCTCCACCGCTCGCCGACGAACCGCAATCGTAGTCGTAGCAACAGCCGCAGCGGGAGCCGTACAAGCCGCATCAGTCGCACGCGCAGCGCCAGTGATACTCGTAATGCGAGCTACCGCCAGTCCGAGCGCCTCTCGAATCCGTTTGCGGATGTGCAGGAAGTGCCGGTATACCGTGTGTCCCCGCCGGCCCAACACGAACACACGGACTCGGTCGCCAGCAACTCCAGCGGAAACATGTTTGGCGAACATGCGATGAAGTCCCTGATTGCCGCTCTAGACCTGACGCAGGAAGAGGTTGAGGGGCGCCTGCGCGCCGTCTCGATGCACGAGTCGACGATGTCACGCTTTTCGACGATCACTGGCGATGAGGCCATCGCGACAATGCGTGCATTCCCTATGCCGCCTGCCACCGAACAGAGGTTCCCATGATTGTAACTTATCTTGCTCTTCTGCGCTCTTTGCCCATTTACCCGACCGTCCGCTCATGTCTGCTGTGAGTCGTCGCGCGGCACGTTGCTCCGCTGCTTTGAGCTGTCGCGAGCTGCGCGGCAGGCGCGGTCGATCCGCAATGATCCCGCAATTCCACTCTGCGTCCCTATCTCTTCGTCGTACAGCTCCTCTTCCCAGTGCTATATTCTCCCATCGACTTGCTCTCTGCGGCACCTCCGCATGATCTGGCATCGGCGCTACCTCAAGCAGTCCCGGCCTGAGGACATTTTCATTACCTTCACTAATTCACAATTCACGGGACACTCGCGCTGGCTTACCCTCCAATTTCCGTAATGTACGACTTCTGCTCCCCCTTTGTCTGAAGGCATATCGCCCAGTTATTTATGTTAGTCCGTCTATCTGAAGACGGCAACCCTTCGCCTGTCCCTCCATGCAGGGCACCAACCCTTTTGTAGGCAATGGCCGGCCGCGATGGCCACTGCCTCACTCCGTGTCAATGTAGTAGAATGAGAATTGATTTTTTTCCTGCGTTGCAGGGCTGTCGCTATGTGTACATGATTTATACAAGTGCGAGGGCGCTGGAGCGCTGGCGTTCGATGGTCTATCGTCTCGTGTTCTACATAGTCATTGCCATTAGATAGCCTGCAGCCGTGTCTGCCCAATCGCAGGTACAGTGAAAACGTTCTCAACATGATGCAGCCAAGCAGACGACCCAAAGCGTCAATGCAGATGTCCGTATCACAAGCACCAGCCGGGACCAGCATGCCCTCGCCCTACCTAGCTGCAGCTCCGAGTCAGTCCCTGCATCACGATGACGCATTCGTCCACGAAAAGCACGGGCCTCCCGGAGTGTCAAGCGTGACATGGATGCCAAGGCTGGACGTCCGCTGCGGACGCACGGGCACCACGCCCTCCACGGGCGCCGCGAACGCCCACAAAGGCGCGGCACCGAGCTCGATGTCGCCCGGGCGTCCACGGCTGTCTCGCCCGACGATGCACCAGCCGTCGCCACATGTCCGCACGACGGCGACACGCTCGCCCGCCGCGAGCGCGAGCTCGTCCGGGAGCGTGGGGCGGAATGCCTGGCGGACCGTGCGCGTGTGCGCGTGCGCGTCGTCGAGCGCAGAAATGGAGGACGCGGTCGAGTATGTGCTCGTGCGGTACGCGCCGTGGCGGCGCGAGGCCCGCGGGCCCGGCACGGAGGGGTCGGAGATGGGTTGGGAGGAAGGGCCGGGCTGGGGGAGGGTGGAGGTGCCGGACACGGGGCGCAGCAAGGAGCTGCGCCGCGAGCCGGTGGGCAAGGGCACGGGTACGCGGGAGACGGGCGGGAGGGGAGTGAGGTGGTCGGATGCGGATCCGGCTTCGCGGGTGACGAGGATTCGGTCTGGGAGGACGACGCTTGCGGTGAGCTGAGCTCTAGAGACTTCTCGCCGTGCGCGGGTCTCCCTGTGCACAGGGAACGGTGAGCGTTGCGTGCTGGATGTGGGGCTCGAGGGACTTACATCGACTCCTGGGGGGCAGGGGCGACGTCCGGGATGCGCACGCCCAGCTTGTCTCTCCGCGCTTCACGGTGCTTCCTGTAGAAGTGGATGCCCAGCCAGGATCCGCCTACGAGCACGATGACGAGGGCGACAATGAGCCCAGCGAGCTGGACGTCGTCGTGGCGTACAGAGTCGGGCGAGGAGCTTAATGCGCCGCCTAGGGGATCGGTGGAACGAGCGAACACGGTCGGGCTGGGGGCCATGGTGGGGAGCGCTGCTTGGGACAGCACTCAAGAAAGAGATAGACAGGTTATAAGTCCAAGTGCGCCGCTGTGTCGTGCGATTGATGTCCGCCCCGTTTCGGCTCGCAGACGTAGCAGCCTAGACGTGGTGCATGGAGAAGAGTGAAGAGAGATAGGCCCTGAGCTTGTCTACCGTTGCCTGATAAATGTGCATACCAGCGCGCGCTCAAACAGGACACATTCCTGTTCTGAAGAGGATGTGGACGTCTTCGGCTTGGCCTCGTGGGAGCTAACCTTACCTCGAGATGGAATCATCACACTCAGCATTGATCGCGGACCGGGATCATGAGTTTGATTACCACTCGCCGAGCGTGTAAAGCGAGATCCGAAGAAGTAGAGGCAGAAAGTTCAGGCGCAAGCACTCCGATACAGACTTTGGGCTCACCTCGAGGTAGGCATGACTGGGGAATGCAATGGTACAGGTTGATAGTGAGGCGATAACTGCATCAACGCGGCCAAGGCGGTAGAGAACAGAAGCGCCGCGATGACACATTAGATCTTGCATTAGATCGTGATGACATTGTTTCGGACAGGTGTTCGGGTACCTGAAGAATGAGCGCAGGAGAGGATACAAAGCGGTCCAGTAGAACAGAGTGGTCACCGGATGGCGAGTCGCGGCATCGACGCCCGTTGATGTCCTCCCCCAAATCCATTGGCGTTTCCGGTATCCAGTGCAGCTGATTAGCTTGCTATTCGCGCCGTTTGAAGTCAGTTGAAGTACGCCACCGAGAGAAGCCAAGAACAACGGCCTGACAGTGCGAGGACCTCGGCGAGATCAGCGCTACGTTGCATTCGCATGGCGGTCAAGCCCAGGGGGGCAATATATAACCTTGATGCTAGAGACTGAAGGCAGTTCCCAATCCATGGCAGCCTGCCTGTAGTCGCCGTTCGCTTCAGAGAGCCGAGGGGTTGCGCGACCTTGTGCGTACTTGGACATGCGTTTCGCTTACCGTTTCAGGGAGACAGGTATCTGTTCGCTTGGAACCCAGCGCTTAGACCGAGTCGACGCTCTCAGTTTCAACGCGTCTTGCCAACGTCCGGTCCATTGCTAATTCGGCTTTGTGAGAGCTCACTCACGCTCGACGTGTCGCCAGCATGGAGCGGGCGATATCCGACATGAATGTGGATTGCGATGTAACTCTCATTGAATGTCCAAGATCGCGCTTCTGTGGAAGGATGGGACCACATTTCAGGCACAAGCACATCGGCGTAGATCCACTGTGACTCACCTTGGGCGCAGTCCAGGTGGGATGATGCTGGGAATGTTCGGGGATACGACACATTATCTCCAATAATCAGCGCGAAGCATGCAGAGCTAGATGTGTTGCTGTCATGATGTTCTGTGGACGTGGTCAGTGTGGCAGAAAATGGAAGATCACCGCCAGGACATATGCATGCCACTGTTGATATTGTTCCCCACGTGAGAAGAGAGCTACCTACGGAGACATCCCGAATGTGGTAGAGGACAGTAGAACGTCGACATGAAGTAAATTGCGCATCTTCCAATCAGGTTGTGAGGTGAAAGGTGAATTCTCGTTGCCACTGTCTGCGTCATACATGATCTCGAGTAGTCCAATCCGAGAGACGGAAGACATGTGGAACACCGGAGCTGAACGTGGTGTTGTGATTCTTAATGAAATCAGCGTTGCCATTACGTGGAATGAGGCTTTGCCATGTGAACGTCACAAGACGCATAAGGTTAGGGACAAGACTTCACCCTTCGTACCTGACACGTTCCCGACGGGGAATTGTGCCCGATGATGTACGAATTTCGGCGGCTATTGGGCGGAATCACTTGCAAATGCTCATGCTAGCTATGTGAGTAATCCGTATCTATCAGGTCCAGGTCCAGGGGTGCATCTCGACGGTGTCAGTTCTCATGTGAGTGGATGCTAGCGTGCACTGTACTCATGAGTCTGTGATCTTCAGCGAGATGAAAGACAGGACAGGACACAGAGGGCTCACCTATACGTTGTGTTGTTCCGAGCCATCTATTGGCAGCTGCCGTATTCTGATCGTCGAACACATTCAGCGAGACGCGAGACCGGGCATTGCGTGTGGAACCAAGTCTTTGTTAATAAAGCCCCAGGGCGTTCCATGAGTTTCAATCACGGCCCGTGTTCAGAGACCGAGGTCCCGTCTAGCCGTTGTCCATTGATTCCAGGCAAGCAAAAGGCCAAGTGTTGCTTATACACTGAGTATAGACGTTGAGCTTTATGGAGGTGCCAAGGGCATCCAGTTTGAGGAAAAGCAAGTTGCTGCAAGACCGTCATTCCGAGATGAGCGATTGACAGCAAACCGATTTGGGGATACCCGCGCGCCTCTTTTGGTCCACCTGCCTATCCGGGAAGGTACTGGTGGCTGAACATGGCTGAGAGTGGTATGTCAAAGCGGATACACGCTATGCATTTCATACAGAATCTTCTGAGTTGTTCCTGCATAAGCAAATGTAAATATTGAATTAGTGCTTTGATATGTAGGCTGGCAGTGTTGCCCAATCGGGAAAGTCTTACCTCTTGAAGTTATAAGCTTGAGCAGGACTTCAGGAGACACTAATAGATGCCCACGGGTCAGGAAAAAATATGGTACCCCAAAAGATAAATGTCCGGGAGTCATGCAGGATTATATTCTCAACGGGATGGGAAGGTGCCCAGCCACCTTCACTACCAAGATAGGCAGGTGAGCCAAATAAAGCACGCGCTCGCTCTGGTCCAAGACGCGCGCCTCAAGTACGAGACCATGGCATTGGTATGACCGTACCATGGGCGATCTAAGGGTCGCATAGAATGCGGCTCTGGAAAAATTCCAGCCATCACACCATGTGAGTGAGTGTCTAGATCGATCGTGAATAGATCTCGACTGTAGCCACATTCTGGCCACAAGGAAGTATACAGTCTGTGTGTATTCGTACTGGTATACTAAGAGAATATTTTAATTAAAGTGAAGAATCGACCAGGCTGAGACCTAGTTTGTCTGATCAAAACTATTGTCTAGTGCTCAGGTGCGCACACAATCGGTCCCCAGAACGCTCCCGGTGAGCAAGGATAAAGTAATCGTTTCCTATGGTCTTCCTCACTCATTGTAGTTCTTGGCCAACGAGGGTGTGACCGGAGGAGATCCTCTAATTGGTCAGCTGGCGTAGGATGCTCAAGTCTGTAGCTTCAGGATACATTCCCGCCTTCGTCGCCTTTGAAAGATCAGATCTCGCGCAGACTCGACTAGAAAGAGCAACGTCTACCCGCAGGTCACCTCGGAGTATATCACGACCAACCAGGTTGTAGTAAATGATCGTACATATAGCATGGGTATCTGTTCTTGTCCGCAACGTAGAGAATGGTCAGTGGCTTGCTTTTATCAGCATCAGGGGTCAGGCGTGGTGGCATGTTCACGGCTGAAAGGAACAGAATATGGCCCCGTCCGAAAATCTTCGTGAAGGCGACGCTCCCTGTATCTCTATGCAGGGAATCGACCGTTTCGTAGGAAATAGTTAGCTACGATGGCCGTTGCCACAGATCACATGCAGTATCATGAGTTTCGTGGTTTTCTGTGCGATGCAAGGTTATCACTATGCGTACATAATTCCTAAAAAGATATGCGGGGATGCCGGAGCTCTGGCACTCGATGGGCTGTTGCCTTATATGTTATATGTAGCCGTCGCAGTTGAATAGCCTACAACCAGATTCTCTCGAGTGCAGACACGACGAAACTCCGTTATACGTCGTAGTCAAGTCCATAGCCCGAAGCGTTCATGCAGGTGTCCATATGACAAGCTCCAGTGATGTATGCCGCTCAGACCTTCGGAATGCCCTAGCCAACCCGGCGGAGGCTTAGCAGCTATATCACGATGTCGCATTTGTCCACGAGAAGCACAGGCCTCCCGTGGTGTCAAGCGTGACATGGATGCCAAGGCTTGACGTCCGCTGCGGACGCACGGGCACCACACCCTCCACGGGGGTCGCGAACGCCCACAACGGCGCGGCACCAAGCTCGATGTCGCCCGGGCGTCCACGGCTGTCGCGTCCGACGATGTACCAGCCGTCGCCGCAGGCCCTCGCGACCGCGACACGCTCGCCTGCCGTAAGCGCGAGCTCGTCCGGAAGCGTTGGGCGGAATTCCTGGCGGACGGCGCGCATGTGCACCTCGTCGAGCGCAGAGACGGAGGATGCGATCGAGTATGTGCTTGTGCGGTACGCGCCATAGCGGTGCGAGGTCCGCGGGCCGGAGAAAGAGAAAGAGCCTGATATAGGGCGGGCGAATGATACAGACTGAGGGCGCGGGATGGACTCGGGCACGGGACGCAGCAAAGTGGTGGGTGAGGGCGCGGGCACGCAGGAGACGGCATCCTCAGTCGTGGGGTGGCCATTCACGGCGGCGGGTACACGGATGGCCTCTCGGGTGGCGGGGGCCCTGTCTGGGAGCCGGGCCCTGGACATATTCCGCTGCGCTCGAGTCTCACTGCGTGCTCGAACGGAGTGGTCAACATACGTGCTTGGGTTCATCGAGGGGACTTGCATCGCTTCTGAGGGGATGGAGTCTGCGTTTAGTCTGTCTCTTTGGGCCGCGCGCCGCTCTGTGTAGAAGTGGATGCACAGCCAGATTCCGCCTGCGAGCACGATGGCAAGGATGACTAGGACTCCGGCGAGTTGCACGCTGTCTTGGCGAACGGAGTCGTTGAGCGTCTTGTATGGGCTACCCAGAGGCGGAGACATGGTGTGAGTTGCTGCCTGTGGTCAGCAGAAATTGAGCTAGATGAAGTGTAAGTGTACGTGTCATGTTATCGACGGCTTGCAGACGAAGCAGCATGGACGCAATGCGCGAGAAGAAGTAAAGAGAGATAGGGAGCTTGCTTGCTGCTCCCTACCAAAATTGCAAGCCGCCGCACGCCCGCACAGCGCTGCGAAAGCAGAACACGGTGCTGTCCTGAAGACGCAGCATCGATACCGGTAGGGCGAGATGTCCTTTGTAACGTGTTGGAGCTCCCCGTATCCAATATAGGTTATCACCTTGAGCCGTTCAAAGTTAACTGAAGTCCATGGCCGGGAGGACCGAAGAATGGGAGGCCTGAGGCCTAAGCAAGCTTGCTTCTCGGGAGCATTAGCGGTGTATTCGCTCGCGAGTGTGAAATATATTGTACCTCCTCAGAGTCGAAGACTCGAGACGACTTCCAGCTTTCCTCAACTTAGAAATAGTCGGACCCCCTTTGTCTTCTAAGGGCAGGGGCGACGTAGCCACGCAGCTTTAACTTGGCACTGCAAATCGTCCACCGCGTCAGGACGACAATTATCCGTTCTCGAGCCCAGAGGGTGACTGCCGAACAATCCATCCGACGACCGCAAGGTGCAGAAGCGTTCGAGGCGGGCACATGCAAGTAATTACGCCCGCATTCGCGCCAGAATCGGCAGCTCATGCCCTGATAGTACAGCTTTTGTTCAGCGACAACAAGGAACACTGGAGAGCTTGACGATCTACGCAAGAAGACACACGCCTTGCTTATTTCGTCGTTCTTGATCAGGATGAGATGGCGCCTAGTCCGCATGTGGACGTAATGAGTGGTTCATGATCACAGTAACAACTGAGCAAACATCAGTCTTAGACCAAAAGCAGATAAGAACCATCCTGGAATACCACGGCGCGGGTTGAGAGGAGGCGAGCGTGTTCAATATCCACAGCCGAATTCGGAGATCGGTTGTCGCGCGTCTCGCGATCGACCGGTTCGTGCGCCACCGTTGCGATGTGCGCTCTCACCTCTTCTCTGCTTGTTGCATGCCCCCGCCCGCTCTCCGCCCTTGGCCAACACAGGGGGCTTACTGACCGGCCTAGCTAACTTATCCCAGTCGTTCATTTCACCCGACATTCGTTTTTCTCGCTCGGCCCCACGATTGTTGCAATACTAGACGTGAACACGAAAACCAACATAGCAACGTCAAAGAAGCGTACGAAGATGGCGCCCCAATGTCAGTTAGTCAAGCGCAGCGATGCAGGCTCTCAGAACGTCGGCTCTGGGTCGTCGCTGAATGTCGTGATGGTCATCGGCATCGCCGTCGCGTGCGCGATTGTTGTCGGCGGCGCGATATGGCTCGCGGTGCATATATGGAGACAGAGACAGGCGAGGAAGAGGGAGGACAGGCGCTCCTCCGCTTTCGTAACCGTCCGTGGCGTCGTTAGAGAGGCCCCGGAGACGGCTCCTACACCTAGGTGCGTTCTCTCCCACGAGCAAGCTTATGGTCACCAACCCAGTCGTGCAGAGGCCCCCAGATGCGGCAGGGCACCGGATTCTCGCGATCGAACCTCACGGCGAGCGTCGTAATGCCCGACAAGACGGTCCTGCCCAAAGACGCGACGCGCGAAGAGATCATCGAGTACTACACCGCCGAGGGCAACCTGCCGCGCCCCTTTGCGCCGTTCGCACCACCCCCGCATCCCGGAGGGAATGCGCGCCCGGAGTCCACGGGCTCGTTCCTCTCCGTCCTGTCCGGCTCATTCCGCAGCAGTGCGTATTCGTCCAACCGCGCGTCGACTGCGTCGTCGTTCTCCGTGTTCGACGAAGGCAGCAAGCGCAAGGTGCGGCAGCTGTTCAACCCGACGCTGCCGGACGAGCTGGTGATCAGCCTGGGCGAGCGTGTGACCCTGGTGCAGAGCTACGACGACGGGTGGTGCATTGTTGGGCGTGACAGCGTGTTCAAGCCCGGCGAGGTCGACCTCGGTGCTGTGCCCGCGTGGGTGTTCGTCAAGCCCGTCAAGGGCCTCAAGGCGGAGCGCCCGATCCGGACGACCAGTCTCGGTGTCACCGTCACCCTCGACGCGCCCGGCGGCCCGAGGGAGGACGTCATCTCCTGGTCCAACTTCTGATTCCTCTGTCCGACCATTTATTTATCACGACTCCTGCGCCAACCCCTACCAGCTGCATTTGACTGTAATCGCGCATTTCGTCTCAGTTCAGCGTTCATCCCTGGCCCCAACGATACGTATAGTCCCCTGCCACTTCCCCCATATACCCCTTCAAGCTGTAGCTTCATCCCCGGCTGCACTGCCCAGACCCGAGTCCCCACACTGGATGTTTGCTACCGGCGTGCGCCTAGCGCCCACGTCGTTGTGGACTCGACGCCATACTTTTGCGGCTCTTCTTACCTGCGTCGATCGTCCGCCGATTCTACTTACTCGAGGCGACCATCCCATTGTATGGGTTGTAGCGTAGGCTCGTGTGCCTCGTAGGCATCCACAATATTCGCTTCAAGTTGTTGTGACCTAAGTACTAACCGTATCAGCCATGATATGTCGTGTAGTCGCACCCGGTTGTGTAGAATGTATTAGATTGTCATTAGCTTTCGCTACATCGCTGCATGGAATCCATATAAGATACCGTCCTAAGTTCTGCAAGGCAGAGCGTTGAGCGCTTAAGAGCGTCTCATTCGGTCTTCTTTCTGTATGTTCTCCAAGCCGCCACCACCATCTCCGTCCCACATTCTCCGTACACACGTCGCCCAAGTCAATGTCATCCACTTCTCCGACGACAACGAACGCCTGTACTCTGGTGATTCGTCGGGCACTGTCACCATCACATCGACGCGCACGCTGCGCCCCACCGCGGTCTGGCAGGCGCATACGGACGGTCTACTAGGCATCCAGGAGTGGGAGGACAGCATCATCACGTCCGTCTGCCGCATGTTACTTGTAACTGAACGGACTTCGCTGACGCGTCCTGCTTCGGTACAGCCATGGGAGGGACAATAAGCTGCACGTCTGGTCCGCCGCACGCGATGCAGAGCCTGCATCGACCATTGGACAGTCTGCAGCTTCCCCCGGGCTGCAGACGCCAACGCTTCGTTGCTCGATGGATGTCAACGCGCTGAACTACTGCCGATTCTCGCTCCTGCCGCGGCGCGAGGGGCAGGCCGCACTCATCGCGCTCCCGAATCTCGTGGAGTCGTCCTTGGTGAGTCCGCCAATGTGTAGACACGGCTCCCTCGTCGCTCAGCGCAACTCTCATACCAGGCAGACATATGGGATCTGTCCTCGCAGCAACGATTGCACGCCGCGATCGGGAAGGCGGGCCTGCCGTCGAAGTTGCCTGACGGGCGTGGGGCCAATCCCACAGGTGCGCTCATTCGCTTGCTTGTTCCCTCACACGGATCGCTGAGTGCTCAATCAGGTATTATCATGTCGATACACCTGTATGAGGTCGCGCATCCGCATATATCTGGGCAGACGCAGCTGCGGCTGCTTTGTGCGTACGAGAACGGCGGCGTGACGGCATGGGGATATACCCGGAGCGACAGGGAAACATCCGTTGAGGGTGCAGGCTGGGAGTCTATTTGGAATGTCAGACTCCACGTTGAGTCCGGTATGCGCTCCTTGAGGTTATCGTTTAGGCCAAATGTTGACGGAATTTGCTAGTTATGGCCATGGCGGTCTCTCGCGACAATAGCTTCGCTCTCACAGTGTCTGCCGACCACCTGATCGGCCGTTACGACCTGCAGGCACGTCCCTCTCGAGACTGGGTCGTGTGCTAGGTGCTGGCTAACACAAGGCCAACGTTCTGGCAGGCTGCCGAGGAGGCCCAGGATACATCGGCAGTCTGTACGATCCACCGGACCAAACACCCAGGGAACGGCTCCGTTGCCATTCGAGATGACGGACGTGTGTGTGCCGTGGGTGGCTGGGATGGAAAGTGAGTGACAACTCACAGGCATCCTCGAATCGCTCACGAGTGAGTCGGCGCAGAGTTCGACTGTACTCCACCAAGTCTGTGAAACCTTTGGGGACGCTTGTGTACCACAAGAAGAACTGCCAGTCCGTATCGTTCGCGAGGTATGGTACTAGCGCAGCGGACGTGGGTTCTGTCCCAGGCGATGACAGCGAAGACGAGATGGGGGAGGAAGATCAAGCTGAAAGGAGCCGGTGGCTCGCCGTCGGGAGCCAGGATTGCAGAGTGTCTATATGGGGTCTCATGAACTTCAGTGGAGGAACGTGAGCCGTGCTGGTAGGTGGCTGGTTTCTGTCGAACTTACCGTATGGGCCTTCCGCTCAACACCTTACCGAGACTGGGTAATCTCGTTGACTCCAAGAGAACGGCAAGGCGATGAAGCATGAAGTGCAGCTCGCCAGATGAATGCAGTATTGGTGTTGCAAACATCATTGTCTTCCAAAACTGAATGCGGACGAATGATCTCTCACTCTCAACTTCCGCGTTTTCCTGCTCTGCAGACAGCTTCGACGAGCAATTGCACCATACATCATACAGCTCTCAGAGGGAGTTACACTATGGTCATGCCTACCATTTAACACATCCAGGCTAATTTCCTTTCATGGTACGACATCCGAGCTGGAGCTCGTTCTCCGGAGTCCGGCTGGGCGGATCCCTCATTCTTATGCTCTGAGAGGCAATTCTGTCCGTGGGGCACTCGGACTCCTTGCCCTTACGCAGGGCCTGGCGGCAGTCATATGCGTCAGCCATGTGTAATTGGTGACGCTGTCAACACGGACTCTTTCTTGGACTCCTCTACTTCCATTATCAATTTTGTGATGCAGTTCCACGACACCGATCACGTCGCGCCCCTCGACGAACGTCTCGAACTTTCATCGCTTGGAGTTGGAGTCGCCGTCTTCAGGGTCCTGGTGAGAGAGAGTACCACCGTTCTCCGCGCACTCTTACGGTTTGTTCCTACTGTGGGCTGATCTCTGCTGCACGACGTAAGAATTATGACGTCGTGTGCCCTGGAATGCGGCGCTCCTGCTCTGTGCAAGCCGATCCTCAGGACGGTGGAACGTATCGCTGTACTGGATGCTGATATGCTCCGCTACGGGAATATCGAGCTATAATGAAACATGTTCAGCGCCGCGCCTGTGATCTTGCCTGCTTGAGATTGTCGCAGCTAATGACTCGTCGTGAGTGAGCGTCAGAGATTATTAGATGCTGTGTCGGTGGAGGCGAGGAACGTTGAGATCTGATTGTCATATAGGATGCCACCCGCTGGGTACTAACGCGTGTTCTGTAAGGCTGGGACAGCCGCTGATGAAT